GTCTCTGTTGTCAGATCGCTGGTCTCCTTTTTCTGGAAGACACCTGACTGTGCTCTTTCTATTTAAATACTGTAGAAGCAACTTGTGTTCTCACGCAAGGTGGCCAAAGTCTAGTAGAGTGGCTGATCTTTGATTCTAGCAATCTCTAAACCAAGTCTCTGTTGTCAGGCCGCTGGTCTCCTTTTTTGGAAGACTCTTGACTGTATACTCTCTATTTAAATACTGTAGAGGCGACTAGTGTTCTCACGCAAGATGGCCAAGATCTGGTAGAGTGGCTGATCTTTGATTCTGGCAATCTCTTGAACTGTATGCAAGGCCAGGCCTGGGTGGGCATACTGGCAAAGGCTTTTGGGAACCCCACGAGGAAGGAAGTAGGGAGCATCAGTTTCCACAACAATTCTCTCCAGTGGGATCTTTTTCAGAGCATCTCGGGCTGCCCAGGCAGAAGCGTAAGTCAAGACTGCTGTGAAGCCCACAGACATGTTGGGAAAGTACTCCAAAAGGGGCTCGATGACTGGGTAACTGTTAGTGAAGCAATGCCTATGGATCTTGTAGTCAGAAGGCACATATTTTTTCATGATGTCCAGCAGATCTTTGTCAGCTTCTCGGCAGTGGATCACCAAGGGCTTCTTTAGAGACACAGCCAGCTGCAACTGTCTCTCAAATATCTTGTGCTGCTGTGGGATAGGTGTAGTGCACTTATAAGAGTAATCCAATCCTATTTCTCCAAATGCTACAGCCTTGGGGTGCCTTAAGGCTCGCAAAAGATTTCTTTCTTGATACTCATTGTAGTAATGTGCAAAATGGGGATGACAGCCAAAGGCTCCCCAGACCAGATCATCTTTCAACAGATTCTCCCATAGGCCATCCCTTAATGTGCGAGGGTCACAGAAATCAGAGATGCAGCCCTGAAATTCCTTAGGGAAGGAATGGTTGTAAATTTTTCTGAACTTGGTAAAGGTCCCATTGAAAGACAACTTGGCATAGAGCATGTCCAAGTGACAGTGGGTATCAATGAAACCCTCCTTTAGCCTTTGCTCCCAGTAGCTCCTTGGAAGGGAACTAGATGCATGTCTTCCCCAAAGAAATGATGATGTCTCCTTCATCTTTGCTTTTGAACTTCTGGGGAAATTAAAATGAGAATTCTGGGAATGACCTTCCTCTGATACCTTCAGGTCTCTGGCCCAGTTTCGGGAGCAGTCTGTAGAGTTGGAGGAATAATTACTCAAGAAGCTCCAGCTGTTCTTCCTAGCCTTGGATGTATTGTTGCTGCTGCTGCCCAGGGAGTGACAGAGAGATGGCTTGGGACTGCTGGTCCAGTGGCTGGCATAATCTTGCAAAGGATCACTGTACAAAGGAGGCTGATACTTGACATAGTCAGTGGTGAAGGATGAAGGCTTTAAAACTGAGAGACCCAGTGAGACTGGCTCCTTTGGAGAGAATCTGACTGTGGAAATCTCATCCACATTAGACCAGTCACTTCCTGAAGAGGGGTGCTTAATCACCACATCCCTTTCTTTACACTTTTGTATTTCTGAATGAGAGTCACATTTGTCTAGAAATTTTAGGGCTGGAGAGCCTTTTTCAAAAATGACTGCCCTTTGGTCACCAAGTGGCTTCTCACCGGGTTTCTTCTGAGGCTCTATAAACACTCTCCGGTCTTGCAAGTTGCCGATCTTTATCACTATCTTTTCCTTCTCTGCTTTGAACTCTGGAATAGAGAAGGTGAAAGCCCTAGCCGATCTTTCTCCAGGTTTGGGATGCTCTCTTGTGCTTGGTTTTGCATCAGTGGCAGTCTCTCCCTTTCTTTTTGGCATCGATTTTACCAAGATGCCTCGCATAGCTGTCCTGTAGGTTTCTGAAGAGCGTTGGTCTCTCTGTCTATTACTCTTTCTCTGGACCGTGTTTGGTTCCTCATTGTTACCATTCTGATCCTCAGTTTTGGCTGTAAATTCAGAGTTCGTGGAGTTGCGAGAACTGTGTTTGGAATTAACTTTAAAATTGTAGGCATCCTCTAGAGAAGCCATTTTTTCTAGAAAGGGGCTGGCAGAGCACGTAAGGGATGGTGCAGAGGGGATTCCAGAGACAAAAGGAACCCGAAATCCTCCGAATTAGGCAGTCTTTGGAGGCCGCTCCACCCACACCTGGGCCTGACGAACGGAAGGAGGAGGAGGAATATCTTTGGCGGAATGAGCCCCAGGAAAACTTCGCCTTGAAAGTCACAAGGTACTCCTTTGGGTTTTCAGTCACCCAGGGCTCCTTGCCCCTCCTGAACGGGATGTAGAACTATGAGCTGGCCGGCTGGGGTCACATCAATGGGCTCCCAGAGGCATTTGTGTTTACTGGGGACCCTACCTGTGTGCCGCTCCGCCGCTCTGCCGGCTTATCGACCGTTCCCCTTTCCTTCACTTGCCCTTCACAGTTCTCAGTGTTCCAGAGATGTCAAAGGCTTTCCACTGAGTTTGTGATTCCAAAGTGCTTTGGAAAAGTCGCAAAGATGCAAGATTTACCAAAGGCTCGGTTTGGTGTTCAAGCCTACAGTGTGCTTCCGAGATTGTGAAGCACTTTCTCTTTTATACAAAGCGACTTCCGGTATATCAAAGCACTTCCGGGATATTAAGGCACTTCCGGGCAGCGGGGAGCGGGGCGGGGGTGTGGTGGTGGTGACGGTGGTGGTCATGGTGGTGGTATACTGCAAAGCTCTTCCATTAAGTTTGGAATAGTCCTGAGATGACAAAAATCTTTTAAAAGACTGCAAGGTGCTTTAGAGACCACACATATGGCCCCCCTGAGCTGGGCTTCTGGCTTAAAGGTTTGGGTCTCCAAGGGTGTGTAGGAGGGTGGAATAGAACCCAGTACCCGAGCGGAGGAGTTGGATGCCGGGCACTCAGCACAGCTCGCCGAGCCTACCAGTCTGGCCGCCGGAAGCACTCCCCCAACCAGCGACCCCACTTCCACCTCAGGTCACTCCACTACTCTCCACAGCCAGCTTTTCCCCCCCCCGCTGCCTCTGGCTCAGAAGCTCACCCCAGAGCCATTCCTGTTCTGCAGCCCAGCCTGGCCTCCGCCAGAGCTGCTACTATTGTTTGCTTTTTGTTTCTTTTCTCCCCGCCCCGCCCCCATTTTCCAAAAACATAGTTATAGTTTTTAAAACATAGTTTAAGTATACATGCTTTCAGAAACATAGTTATAATTGTATGTTACCATTTTGCCATTTTTTTTCACTCAACATTTCTACATATCCTAAGTATTTTTCTTGTTGCAGTTTTCAAAAATACCATATTAGTACCGTCATCATAATCCAAGAGTATATAAATGTGCCATAATTCACCAAATACTTTCTTTTAGGTTCCTATACTATAGTTTTTTTCTCTAATAAAAGAAAGTGCTGCAAAGAACAGCTTTGCACATATGTTTCTACATATTTTGGTTTGTTTCTTTGGGCAATATGCCCAGAAATGGAGTTTCTGAGAAGTAGTATAGGAATTTTAAAATGGCTCCTCATAGCACCACATTGCCCCAGAAGAATTGTAGTAATTTATTTATTAACTTATTTTTATTATTATTTTTAACACCTTCAGCACCTGGTATTCCTAGGTGGTCTCTCATCCACGTACTAAACAGGTCCAACCCTGCTTAGCTTCTGAGATCAGATGAGGTTGGGCACATTCAGGGTGACATGGCTGTAGGCTAGAAGTGTAGTAATTTAACATCCTATCCATGATGAATAATCCCGCCAGGTCCATTTAATAGGAGAAACAAACAGAAGGAGTGCCTCATTGTTATTTTAATTTGCTCTTATCTGATAATTTTTTAGAGCAAATACTTTTAGTTATTGATATAGTCCCAAATTTTAAGGTATTTTCCATTTATTTTTTAAGAGTATTTTAAGCGTTAATTAAAAAATTGTAAAGTAAATTAAATGTCATATTTTCTAAAATTTTGTTAATATTATTAATGAACAAAAATTCAACCTAGTAAATTTAAAGATCTAATTGACTTTATTGAATAAGTCATGAATTAGACAGCATCCCACCTAGTAGATAGATAGAGAGGTGCTCCAAAAAATTGTACAAAATAGAAGGTTTTTATAGGCAGAAACTGGGTGGGACAAGAAAGTTGTTAGCAGAAGAAAAGAAAGGATTGATTCAGGCAAGGTAACCTTTCTTTAGGAGAAAGGCTGCAAGAATCTTATCAGGCAGGTTACCTCACTAGTAGTGTTGATCAGAGAATTACAGTCATGTTTCCTGGGAGGGGCTGAAACTGCAATTAAGTCTTGGTTTGCTGTTTTGAAGGTGACTCCACCTTGGGCCTGTTGTTATTTTTTAATAGTATTTTGTTTGTTTTTTTATTTATATTTTGGTCTTTTGAAGTTATAACTTGTGTTTGTAATCTAATTTTAATTTTTTCTTCCATAATTGTATTTTTCTCTTAGGCCTAGAGAATGGTTATCCTGTCTTTCAAGGCTTTGACACATTTATAATTGTGTTTTCGAGGGTACAAGGGGTTGATTTGTTACATTTAAGTTGATAATCTTTCTGGTATTTATCTTGGGTTATACTTTATTTTAGGTGGAGATATACAATGATGCTTTTCCAAGTTAGTACTTTTTTCACTTATTGATGTGTAACTCCTCTTTCATCATGTGTTAAATTCCTATATGTAATAGAGTCTATTTCCAGACTATCTATTCTTTTCCACATATGAGTGTGTCTCTTCTTACTCTAGTGTAGCACTATTTTTTTTTCTTTTCTTTCTTTTTTTAAAATTGATTTCAGGTATACAGCACAATAGTTAGGCATTTATATAATTTATGAAACGATCCCTTCTATTAGCCTAGTATCCATCTAGCATTACACATAGCCATTACAATGTTATTGCCTATATTCCCTATGCTGCACTCTACAGCCCCGTGACTGTTTGTGACTACTGTTGTACTTCTTCACTTCACTTTTTTAAAAAGTATAATTTCTATTTTATTTTTTTCCCAGAGAATAGTTCTTCAGAGTTAGCTCCTCACATGGGCTTTGGTGGAGGTCGTGGGGCAGCATCTGAAGGTCTCAATCGGGGTGGGGGTGTTTGGTCCTTCTGGGCCTCACGAGAGCGATTCCTGACTACCTTGCTGTGAGTGGCACAACTCACACAGTAATGTAGTTTCACATACAGCTTGGGAAGTACATAAGCATCGAAGACACTTGCTTCAGAAATGACCCTTACAGCTGTGGCCTCTACTATGTTTCGGATGACAAACTTCTTAATGGCCTTGTCCTGGGGCATGCATCGGGCGCAGTTGGTGCAGTGAATAGGCCGCACATGGCCCCGGCCCTTTTTGGCACGACCATTGTTCCTTCTTTTTTCGGTCATCTTGAAAGCGAGGAGCTGAAAAAAGCTCTTCTCTTCATTTTTTTCACCCTGCCCTCAATCCCTCACCCCTATGGCAACCACCATTTGGTTCTCTGTATCTGTGAGTCTTTTTGTTTTATTTGTTTGTTTTTTTTTTTGTTTCTTAGATTCAGCATATAAGTGGAATCATATGCTATTTGTCCTTCTCTGTCACTCAGCATAATACCCCCTAGGCCACCCATGTCATTGCAAATGGTAAGATTTCATTTTTTTAATGGATGAGTAATATTCCATTGAATATGTGTACCGTAACTTCTTTATCCAGTCATTTATTGATAGGCACTTAGGTTGCTTCCATACCTCAGCTATTGTAAATAGTGCTGCAGTGAACATTGGGGTGCATGCATCTTTATGAATTAGTGTTTTTTTTTTTCGATAAATACCTAGAATTGGAATTGCTGGGCCAAAAGGTAGTTCTAGTTTTAATTTTTCGAAGAACCTCCAAACTGTTTTCCAAGCTGTCGTACCAATTTGCAATCCCACCAACAGTGCACAAAGGTGTCTTTCTCCACATCCTCGCCAGCACTTGTTGATTTGTTGATTTATTGGTGATAGACATCTTACAAGTGTGAGGTGATAGCTTATTGTGGTTTTAATTAGAATTTCTCTGATGATTAGTACCTTGAGCATCTTTTCATAAGTCTATTGGCCATCTGTATTTCCCTTTAGGAGAAATACCTATTCAGGTGTTCTGTCCATTTTTTAATTGGATTGTTTGTTGTTGTATGAATTCTTTATAAATTTTGGATATCAGCCCCTTATACAATGTATCATAGGTGAATATCTACTCCCATTATGTAGGTTGTCTTTTCATTTTGTTGATGGTTTCCTTTGCTGTGCAAAAACTTTTTAGTTTGATGTAGTCTCACTTGTTTATTTTTTCTTTTGTTTCCATTGCCTGAGGAGATAATCAGAAAAAAATTTATTAAGT